CGTATAGAATGGCATTTAATGTTTCGTTTGGACAATAAGAATGGAATGTAATGCATTTTGGGTTAAAAAATGCTCCCTCCGAATTTCAAAAGATAATGAATGATATTTTCAATCCCTATTTGGATTTCATCATATATTATATTGATGATATTTTGGTATACTCAGACTCTCGAAATGCATATTAAGCATTTAGACATTTTTAAGAAAATAGTTATTCAAAATGGTTTGGTCATATCTAAACCAAAAATGAGTCTTTTTCAAACAGAAGTTATAATTTTGTGTCATTTGATTTGTTAAGGAAAAATGACTCCTATTCAGCGATCTATTGAATTCGCATCGAAATTTCCTGATATTATTACAGATAAGACGCAACTGCAACGATTTCTGGGAAGTTTAAACTACATTTCCCCATTCTACAAGAATTTATCTTGAGATTTAGCTCCGTTATATGACAGGCTAAAAAAAGTTCATAAAAAGGCTTGGACTACTAGTCTCACAGATCTTGTAAAGACTATTAAAGAAAGAATTAAATCTTTACCTAGTTTAACCCTTGCTAATCCTGCTTGGCCAAAAATTGTAGAGACGGATGCGTCTAATATTGGGTATGGAGGTATATTGAAACAAATTAATCCGCATGATAAAAATGAATATCTTATTCGATTTCATTCAGGAAAATAGAGCGATGCTCACAAAAAATATGCGATGGTAGCTTATGAAATGTTAACTATCGTTACGTGCGTTTTAAAATTTCAAGATGATTTATATAATCAAAATTTTTTGATAAAAACTGATGCTCAGTCAGTCAAGTATATGTTTGATAAAGATTTTAAACATGATGCGTCTAAGTTAATTTTTGTTCGGTGGCAGGCACAATTAGCCCCTTTTGATTTCGAAATTCATTATAAAAAGGGAAATGATAATTCCCTCCCAGACTTCTTATCAAGAGAATATCTTTCTTCCGATGAGTTTTCTTGACTTCTTTCCTGATAAAGATTTGGTTATGATTTTGAAGGCAGTTCCTCTTAATAGAGATTTAAAGGAACTTATATTATGGAAAATTATAGACGGATGGTGATTGATATCGTCAATAATTACATGATAGAACAAGTGATTTATGAAAGATTTTATTGTGATGAAGTTTATAACCTCTTGAATGATTAAAACTAAATGTTATGTTTGCAGGATGGATCCTCCTTGGATAACCAAGGCAAGAGGAAAAGGCAGTTATACTCGCGGAAGGGGAAGATTATCCCCAAGTTCATCAAGATCATCATACGGATCTTCATCATCTAGTACTCCAATTATACAAAAGGGAGGAATGAGTTTATATAACTTAAACTCTAGAGCACAAGAAAAGCTTCATCATCAATACATCTGGAAGATATTCCAGAAAGTGATCCATTATATGCTAAACTACAAGAGTTTCTAACTCAAAAGCAAGGTGATTCTTTTGCTTCAATCGCCAAAGAAGAAGTTGATGATATCAAAACATATGAAAAGGTTGAAAAAAGAGAAATGATATTTCTCTTAGAAAACTCTGACATACAAAGAAGAGAAGAACCTTAGAAGATATTCCAGAGGTATTTAGTTAATGGGCTTTATTTCCCAGGTGAGTCATACAAAACTTGGAAATATTATGAGACTCTGCTGATAAGCACACGTGTTGAATTTCAACATTTTTCAGGATATAATACAAGTGACAATGTTTATAACTTCTCTAAAATGATTATAAAACACATCATTCATATTGAAGATTGGGGTATTTCCTCAATGACTGAAAGACAATTCAGTCTAAACAAAATCATGGTAAGCTTTACCTATTGGGATTATATTCAGCCATTTAATAAAGTTCTTTGTTATAACAATGAAAGGCATAAACATACTTGGTTTATGAAAGTATGTGCCAAGATATTTGCGAATCCTATACCAAATTGGTTTTTAAACTAGTGGTCATACCACGGGCCAACAATAAAAATATTACCCGAACCATTTCTCAAGTTATACAAAGAATGGGTCAAGGTGTCCCCAGATCTCAACAAGTTATATCATCAAGAACATATTTGTTATTTTCAACAAATTGAACAGATATCTTTTTTTATAGAATTCTCGGTTCCATGGATTCATAAATGGGTTCCAGAAGTAGATTTTACTGAGAAACAAATTCCTTGCCTATACAGAACTTATTATAATAATTTTTGGGACAAGTTGATGAAGAAAGATCCTCAAACAAAGTCCATATACGGACAAGAACTGCTGGATCTAATTACGAAAACCATACACGATTATAAATCAATTCCTAATAAAGAAATTATGACTGATGACTCAACCTCCGTAAAACATATGGCAAGAAAATTTTCTAATCATGATGAAGGAGAACAAAATGAAATGATTAGGAAATAACTAGAAGAAGTAAAGACGAAGATTCTTCTAAATATAAGTTATTACGCAAAATCAGATTCATCACTGCGTAGTGAAACAAGTGAAGATATGCACGAAGCCCAACAATATGAAGAAGAAAGTCCAGTAGATGCACTGAAGAAAGCCGAAGATTTTTTAAAGACAAAGTGTAAAGCTTATGCGCGTCAGTAGCGGGCCCGCGATACTGTAGCAACACTGTTCACCAACAGTAAATACACTGTTACCAGGACCCAGATAAGGGCCCAGTATCCTATACAAAGATGCTTTTTTTTCTATAAATAGGTCTGTTTTTCTTTAATTGAGAGAAGGTTTTAGAAACCCTCTCTCCTTCTTTCTACTTTCTCTCTCCCCACTTGTAAAATATTTTCAAGTATTGTAAGCTTACCGAACTTTGGATGGAGGAATAGTAAAGTGTGCTATTTGCTACAAGGTACTTCCTTTTATTTTCAGTTTTTATTTCTGAGTTAAGCCATGACTATGTCCGGCTAAGAAATTATATCTATGCCGGATAACTATCTTCTCTGTTATATAGACCATGAACGGATCTAAGCTTTATTTAAATATAGAAGAATTTTAGTATGGCTTCTCGACTTGGTTCTGAGATTGAGGTACAGTCAGATCTAGTACTACTTTTATTGGCTTTGTCTTTATGACTCCGTCTGATGAGCCGTGGTTTTTAGCCCGAAATTGAGTTTGATAAGTAGGGCATCTCATACCCGGTTAGAACTATCAGACACATGGGCTTAATAAAAGTATGTATTAGTTTCTTGACAGGCCCTTTGCTTGGGTAAAATAATTAAACCATGCAGTCTGAGAAACTATGTTAAAATTCTTGTGTATTTCGATTCTTTTGTAGTTGGACTACCTCTAAGAATATTGACTAAATAATAATAATAGTTATAATAATAGTAATAATAATAGTAATAGTAATAGAAATAATAATAATAATAATAATAGTAGTAATAATAATAATAATAATAATAATAATAATATTAAAGTAAATATTTAATTAGATATTAATTTCAATGAAGTCAAAAAGTTATTACACATTTATATAATTAAAATGATACAATTTAATATTTAAATAATTAAATATTTTATATGATTTTAATTTATAATAGGAGTAAAATTGTAATCCAACTTTTAACTTTGAGGCTTCCAACTTTTAATAGTAATTATGATATGATATCAGATATGATATGGGTCTATTCTTTATAGATATGATCATATAGCTGCAAATAATAATATTTTACAATTATAATTATGTTTCATAAATACATAGCACATATATACTATTATCATATAGTTTCCCCTTCTTCTTTTTTCTTATCACCTCACTGTGATCAATTAATGGGGAGTTAGACCTTTGGTGCACGTTTTCTTAGGATTAGGTTCTATTTTTGTTTTGTTTATTATTGTAGTATCATTTAGGCTATGCTTTCTTTACCCCACACAAAACTGATGTCTCTTGCCCCGTTCCTATTTAATCTTTACCTTAAGTTGATTTAGTCTATATTAAGTGAATTGTTGATATTTTTTTTTATATATTTTAAAACAAATTATTCAAAATTCATGAAAATTGTTCAATTTATTTTTTCACTTTTACTCTTCATTTATGAGTTTCTTAACTACTTTACATTTTCTAAAGAATAGTCCTAAAATAATAATAAATGTAATTGTGGAAAGTAACTTTTAATTTATGCCCTTAAATATATATTTTTTTTCTTAAATAATGTGTCATACTCTAAGAATTCACTTAATATGGACTATAGGGAGTAATAAACAGCTAATTAATTTGCTTGAGTAGGGTCATTACACAAAGTTGTCTAATTTTAGTACTCCCTCTGTCCTAATTTAATTATGTGACACATTTCGCTTTTCGAGAGTCAAACGAGTTAAGTTTGACCGAGAATTTGCTCATGGAATCTTCAAATTATTTAAAATAAAATCTATATATTTGTAAACTACATAAAAAGTACTATAAGTCTCAATAATTGATAATTCAAAATATTTAAAAGATATATGAAAAATTTACGGTCAAAGATAGACTTGTTTGAATCTTGAAATTCGAAATATGTCACATAAATTGGGACAAAGGGAGTAATTAATTAAATTTGAGACCTTCTGCGCGCTACTATGGAAAAAAAGGAATTAACCATGGATAATGTTTAGTAGGTAAACAACAAAAATCTCGTGTTAATTCCATTTAGCTATAGAAATTTAGCTATGAATTAATTAAAGATTACAGAAAAATTCTGATATGGGATATATTGATATTTTGAGGATATGGGGATTCCCTAACATTATGAATTGAATACGTCCTCTTCTAGCAATGTCCTTATAGAAAAAACTAAATAATTTGTATTGGGATTCCATATGCAAGTTGGTATTTGGGAATAAAGTTTGGAGCATTTTTGAATGGGCAAGTGTTAGAGATGACTACCACGAAATGTGGGAGAAGCATGAGATGCCTTTTTTATCTTATTAGAATCATCAATTTATTCAGTCTTGGGATAATAGTCATAAGTCCTATAAATTTGACAAACTTGAATCAACATTTTCTTAAGCAACCCTCAAATCATCCAAAATGGGTCTCCAAACTGATATATATCCTTCTCATGGCGTCAAACAGCAGCATAGCTACTATGACGATAACGACTACTACTCCTCGGAGGATAATTATTACAGCAACAATGGCTCAAGCATGCAAATGAAGAAGCCTTATGGTTATCGCACCACTACTCCAACCCAAAATCATCACATGATGATGAGCCATGCCGGCTATAGCCAAGATGGGAACATGTCTCATGGTTCTGCTAATATTTCCAGCTATGGATCAAGTGGAATGCAACACTCTTCCAACACGAACGGTGGCTATGGATCAAGTGGAATGCAACACTCTTCCAACCCGAACGGTGGCTATGGATCAAGTGGAATGCAACACTCTTCCCACGCCAATGCTGGCTATGGAAGTGGAATGTATGGAAGTGCAATGCAACAATCTTCCCACATGAACGGTGGCTATGGAAGTGGAATGCTGCATGCTTCCCACATGAGTGGTGGCTATGGAAGCGGAATGCAACATTCATCCCACATGAATGGTGGCTACGGCAATGGAATGCAACACTCTTCGCAGATGAATGGTGCTTATGGGGGTGGGATGCACCACTCTTCACACATGAATGGTCGTTATGGAGGTGGGATGCATGAATCTTCCCACACACATATGTCCAGGGGTGTAGAGAACGATTCCGATAGGAAGCCTGGTTACTATGAACAGCATAACAATAATACTGATCATATGTGGAACATGAAGAGTTTGAATGACTAAATCCCCAAAAGTGTTTTGTGTAAGGTGGAACTATATATGGGTGTTTTGGTTGAGTCTTTGGCTATCTTATATTACAAAGGCCTAAAACCTAAATAATGAATCTAAACAACCCTGCTACTATGTACTCATCCATGTATTACTTACTTTTTTATACCCAAAACTATGAATAATTTGAATTAAATGTATTACTGTTTTTGATAAAGTCTTTTTTTCCATCTACTTTTACGTACTATTCGTGGGCTTATTTCGAGTTGCCTCATTTTCATTTACAAGTTCAAACTAGGAAATAGATGAAAAGTGTTGGCAGAAAGGATAGATCCTCCCATTTTCCTAAAATTTGCAGCCGATTATTATCACAACTATTGCAATTAAAATGGGCTAATATTTTTTATGAAAAATACATAACTAGCATATCTACTCAATCCAGCTATAGTTTTAAGGAATAACATAACTCAACGAAGATTTCTTTTTTCCTAGAAGAATCCTATAGTACTCTCTTCTATCTATCCCCTCTGTCTCTCTCCCTCTCTTTGCTCTCATCGGTAACCCTTCTTCATCAAATCTCCACCAGTAAAGAATCATGGATACACTTCTCCAAATAAAAAATATTATCACCCTCATTGATCATCTTATTCATGTATCGAACTCCAGCTTCAAGAATTTGCAGATCCAATTTTCAAATAAAGTTCAGATCAAGTTGAGGTTTTCTCAGATCTACAGAGTTTGGTAAGGAATTGAAATAAATTATTTATGAATTCATATAGAGGAGAGTAATAGGAAGAAGTAGTGAAATTTTGAGACTATTTGGAGATGGTCGATTGATGGCGGTTGTTTGATTTTTCTCAGATATACGGAGGTTGGTTGGAGGAAATGACTTGTGTGTTCATGTACAGGAAGATGCATGAAATAGGTGGTAAAATTTCGGGGGCATTTTGGAGGTTTTTGGGGAGAAGTCCAGTGTTGGTGGGCTATCAAGTCCCGAGACTTCCCCCTAGACGCGACACAGTACTGAGAACCATAAGTTATTCCAAGCTAACCTCGTGCATGGTAAGATAGTAAGATATACAAATTAAGAACTGAAAAGCGGAAGATAACTGGAACAGATCTATCTAAACAAACATAAAGAGACAAATATCTAAGTACGCATGAGCAAAATCTAATTGACTGTCTAAAAAGTCTCTACTAATATTGGGTATCTAAGACATGCCCCTAGATAACTCTAAAGTTTGAAAACTGAAAGGAATATAAGGGGTTGTCCTATAAATAGAGACTTGTTCCTTCTAACTTATTTGGCATTCACAATGTAGTCCTATGGGCATTGAGAGTTTTGGTGAGAGGGAGAATTTGTGGGACACAAGTGATACGTTATCACTTGTGTGAACCTCCTTATATTTCGAGTGAATTGGTTGAGATTATTTCTCTGTATATTTTCTACTCTCGTGTTTATATAGTGAATTGTTCATCCCCTTTGTGAACGTAGATCAATTGACCGAATCATGTTAAATCATTGTGTCTTATAGTGTATTTCTTGTTTGTCTTCCTACTCGTGGTTTTCAAGGTTTGTTTTATTAGCTTCTGCATAACACCTAATTCTTTTTCGATTATTAGAGCTAGGTTCAATGATGGAGACAGGAATAGTGGTTTGATAATCGTTGGTTGAACTAGGTTAAAAATCGGGTGTTCATCTTGGCGGGTGTAGTTCTAGCCGCAACCTATTTTGATAGTAATGTTGACTTTTGTTAGAGAAATTGTTTCTGAGAAGTTCTCTGTATTGAGACATAGATTTTGCATAGGAGATTATGAAGATGAGATGCAAGTTGTTGAAGATTATTTGAAAAAGGTGGACAAATTTATTTTGTTAGAAATACAGGCCAAGGGGGAGATTTGTTAGGTATTAATTGCCTTGAGTTTCTTACCATAAATAGATTTTTCGTCAAGGAAAAGGTTTAGGATTGACTAGTCTTTTCCTTGTAGGAAAAGGTTTAGAACTCGATAAATATAGGTTTGTTCCTAATAACTTAATCATCATTCACAATGTAGTCCTAGGGGATTTGAGACTTTTGGTTAGGGAGAGAATTTGTGGGACACAAGTGATACATTATCACATGTGTGAACCTCCCATGTATTCTGAGTGAATTGGTTGTGGTTATTTCTCTCTATATTTTGTACTCTCATATTTGTATAGCGGATTTCTCATCTCTTTTGTGGACATAGGTTGATTGACCAAACCACGCTAAATTTTTATGCCTTTTGGTATATTCAATTTCTCGATTGTCTTGTTACTCATGGTCTTTCGAGGTTCGCTTTGTTAGTTTTCGTATTACACCTAATTATTTCGGTCCTAACAAGTGGTATCAGAGCCAGGTTCAATGATGGAGTCGGGTTCAATGATGTATCTAGGTTCGATGGTTAACGATTGAGCTAAGTTTAGTCGTTCGATAATCGATGATTGAACCGGGTTAAAAATTGGGTGTTCATCTTGGCGGGTGTAGTTCGAGGTGCAACTTTTTTTATAGTAATGATGATTTTGTTGGATAAATTGCATCAGAGAGGTTCTCTATGTCAATACATAGATTTGATGGAGGATATTATGGAAAGGAGATGCAAGTTGTTGAAGATTATGTGAAGAAGGTGGACAAATCTATTTCGTCATAAATTCAAGCCAAGGGGGAGATTTGTTGGGTATTATTTGCCCTGAGTTTCTTACCAAATATAATTTTTTTTCTTTTAGGAAAAGGTTTAGGAATGCCTAGTCCTTTTCTTGTAGGAAAAGATTTAGTTTAGGTCTCTATAAACAGAGTCTTCTTCCTTCTAATTTAATCGGCATTCACAATGTAGTCCTAGGGGCTTTGAGAGATTTAGTTGGGGGAGAATTTGTGGGACACAAGTGATACATTATCACTTGTGTGAACCTCCTTTTATTCCGAGTTGGATCACCGAGATCAAATAAAGTAAAATTCACAAGCGAATATGTATTTAATCTTGGTGGAGGAGCAGTCTCTTGGAAATCTCCCAAACAAAAATATATCGCTATCTTTACAATGATCTCTGAGCTTGTTTCTCTAGATAAGATCGATGAATAAGTTGGAAGACACCGGAATTTGATAGATATTCTATTTTTGATGTCGAACAAGAAGATAAAAATAAAATAGAAATTAAAAAAAAGATAGATAAAAGAGATAGACACAATTAAATTCAAGCAACTAAGAGATGTAATGGTGAAACTAACCAAAAACACCACTTAATTGAGAAATAAAAGCACCTAATCTATTAGAATCCTCAAGAAAGTAATAACCTTACTTGCAAATTCTAGGAGAAAATGTTGAAGTTCAACAAAGAGCTTCCAAACTCTCCTAAGAGGCATAACATGTCCAAAAAAAACCCTTATGAAACCCTACTATCTATTATTTATACTAAAAACTAAAATAGTGAAGAAAGACTCAATTGCCCTTCATTAAAATTACAAGGTAATTAAAATGGTAGAGCACTTAATATATTAAATATCTTCAAGTCTTCCATGTTGGAGCCTTCCAAAGGTTCCATCTTCATCCATAAAGCTTGCAATGCTTGAAGGTCCTTAGCTTGACTCCTTGTGAAAGGCCTCCTTGAAGTAGTGTCACTTTGATCTACATCACACTCCCCTTCTTCAAAAGAATTCATCCTCGAATTCGCGTCACCTTCATCAAAAAATGATAAATCACTAACATTGAAAACATTATGGACCAAATACTCACTTGGTAAGTCTACTCTATAAGCATTATCCCCAATCTTCTCAAGCACTTGAAAAGGTCCATCTCCTCTTGGTATAACTTTGTTCTTCCTTTTGCTTGGAAATATTTCCTTCCTAAAACGAACCCATACCCAATCACCAGGTGCAAAGGTGACTCGCTTTCGTCCCTTGTTGGCTTTTTTGGTTGCATCATTGTTGGCCTTCTGAATTCGCATTCTTACTTTCTCATGGATGTTCATCATAGCTTTTGCCTTAGCTTTTGCATCTATACTCACAATAATATCTTTGGGTAAATGAGTTAAATCTAATGGAGTCAAGGGATTAAAGCAATAAACACACTCAAAAGGGGTTATGCCAATAGATCTATGAATAGTTCTATTATATGCAAACTCAATTAATGGCAGTTGATCCTCCCAAGAAGTTAACTTCTCTTTAACCATATCCCTAAGCATGTTACCTAAGGTTCTATTAACTACCTCAGTTTGACCATCTGTTTGGGGATGACAAGAAGTAGAAAATAGTAACTTAGTTCCCAAATTTCCCCACAAATACCTCCAAAAATGACTTAGAAGCTTTGAATCTCTATCACTAGTTCCGTGCAATTTCATCACATTATGAACAAATAAGGTAGAAACATGAGATGCATCATCACTTTTATGACAACCAATAAAGTGAGCCATTTTAGAAAATCTATCCACAACAACAAAGATGCTATCCTTACCCTTCTTAGTCCTCGGGAGACCAACAACAAAGTCCATGGAAATATCTAGCCAAGGGCCACTAGGAATAGGCAAAGGGGTATACAACCCATGGGGTTGGGTACAAGATTTAGCATGATTACAATCCAAACACCTAGCACAAATTATTTCCACATCTCTTATCATCTTAGGCCAAAAGAAATGTTCACTAAGAATAGCCAAGGTTTTTGACACTCCAAAATGACCCATCAAACCTCCATTGTGTGCCTCTTTCACTAACAACTCTCTCCATGAGGACATAGGTACACAAAGCTTTCCATTCCTAAACAAATACCCCTCCTTCAACTCAAACCTAGGAGTTCTAGATTCATTACCCTTCTTAACAACTTGTACACACCTATTCAAGCTCACTTGACACTCCCCAAAGACTTTTTCAAAATCATCATCATTAGAATATAACTCATTCAAACTCTCAAAACCCATTAATCTAGAAGTCAAGGTATTCATCAAAACATATCTTCTAGATAAAGCATCTGCCACAATATTCTTTTTCCCTTGCTTATAATCAATCACATAAGGAAAAGACTCAATAAATTATATCCATTTGGCATGCCTTCTATTAAGTTTCTTTTGAACCCTAATATTCTTCAAAGCCTCATGATCGATTCTAATCACAAACTCCTTATGCCACAAATAATGTTGCCAATTCGCTAAGGCTCTCACTAGGGCATAGAGTTCCTTATCATAGGTAGTATAT